AAAGAAACAAAATAAACAGCCCTCAGAAACACTACACAAGCTGGAAGAGTCTATCCATAGCAATCTTTCGGAGTCAGTCCAAAAGTCCCTGAAGTTCTACAGATGCTATCCCAGGACCATGGGCAGCAGGGAACAGGAGAAGAGACCACAATAAAGCAGCTATTTTACAGCATCCAATGACAATCATGACTCTCGGATTTACTACCTTTTACGACATGAACATGAGACGGAAAAGAATCCCTGTCTGGGGCATTCTTGCCACGCCCCTTTTTGCCGACCCTTTTTAACGTGAATAAATGGCAAGAGTTGGAGCTGTCAGCTCAAGGGGGCAAGAACAGGACAGATCCCATCTGCTCTTACTGACATGTAAAGACCAGTTGTCTCCCCCTTCCCTCACCTTTAGCACTCGGTACGCCTCCTGCAGCACGGGTTCCTTATCAGGCACAAGGTTAATGACACAATTTGATCTAAAAAAGAGATGGAATGTCAGGCAAATTCACACACTACTCAGAATGCTTCAAATCCTTTAGTCCCTAAAGACGTCTTCCACCATTTCCCAAAGCTACACCATTCCTTCTGCCTCCCTCTTCTCTTCCCCACACTCAGTTTTTTCCTAAGAAAAAGGAGATGGATGGAGTGTTTAAAATCGCAATAAAATCACAATAAATTGTTAGTCAATTTGAGTGGGCAGGAAAAAAAAATCAGGCACGCTCCTGATTTGTGTCTGTGCTGATGGTCACCAGGCTGGTTCCCCATGCCTCCTGCACCACGTGTTTCTTAGGCCACATGTAAATAGGCGAAATTCATCAAAGGCAGCTTCATTAAGGCTGTCACCTGGGCATGATTTGACAACAATTCAAAAGAAAAGGAGAAACAGACTCCTACACTTCGCTGTGACAATAATACTGAAGATAACAGGTCGGTGTGTGTTGTATGAGCAGACTCAGTGGTCCTGCTGCTGTTCTTTTGGGCTCAACCATTTATGTTTAAGTTTACAGTCGGTTCTCTCCTGGGCTAGTGTGTTCTGAAACCGGTGGGCTACAAGCACCTGAGAACCTCTCCGTCCCTTTATTAAGACAGGCTTAACACCCTAAATGAGAGTCAGTTCCGCAAAGAGTGGTGACATTTGTATTCGACAGGAAATGGGCTATCTATATTTACAGAAATAAGGGTATAGACCTACATAACAATATCGTAACTCTCATTCTTGATTCCAGTCTCCTCCAAATTCTCTATGTATCCATGAAGAAAAGTCACATTGGGTGTCTGGAAGCCATATTTTTCCATGTGGTACTCAATATACTTCTTAGCCACTTCTACCTAAAAAAACAAAAAACAAAAACATATATAAATATATATATATGGGTTTGATAATCATTTTTTAAAATATGCTACTCTTTTACCAAAAATTTCCTATTATAAATGGAATATGCATAATATATTTTTGGTAAGTGTTTAAGGTTCCTCTGGGCATGTAGGATAAATTACAGTCTGGGACAACTCAGTGAAGGATAAACCCTCTGCTGGGTTTGTTTTGTTTTGTTTTGTTTTTTTAATTAGGTAGGCTCCACACCCAATGTGCGGCTTGAACTCATGACCCTGAGAGCAAGAGTCACATATTCTATTGCCTGAGCATGATACATGGATTTTGCTTGAGTAAACTCTTCACTCAACAACAAAATTCTTCAGGATAGATGGCAGAAGCAAGGGAAAAATCAGACTCCACTGGGTCATCATGATACTCATTTATCAGGTCAAACCTCTGACTCTTCTCCCAGAAGAGCCCCTAACTGTCAAAGTTCTCAGCCTTCAGGGCAGGAAGCACTAGTGGAGCAAATGAGCTTTGCATTTAGCAGCCTTCTTAGATTATCCTTGAAGACAGTCACAAAGGAAACAACTGTGTCTTTAAAAGAATGCCTTTGAGAATTCTTTCCTCCTTGTCCTCCAAATCTCTGCCTCACCTGACTTTCCGTCATGTCTATCCCAGTGACATGTCCTGTCTCACCGACCAGCTGACTCAGTACATAGCAATCTCTGCCACTTCCACTGCCCAGGTCCAAAATCCAGCAGTTTTCCAGACACTCAGGGATGACCAGACCACAGCCATAATACCTGGGAAATAGAAAATACATCCACGTATACATATTTTTCCCCTAGAGACTAGAATATGTGGAATCACTAAATCTTACAAACCCTTTCTTCCTACCTCTCTCCTTCCTTTCTGTCCCTCCTTGCTTCCATCATTCACTGGATTTCTATTCAGGTGTTTCGTTTCCCCCACTAAACTGGAAGCTCCATGAAAACTGGAACTCTGTCTGCTTTGTTTACCATTGTTATCATTGTTGGGCACTGTACCAGGTACTAAGACAAACAAGCCATTTACAATATTTGTTGAGGAAATACATTTAGTTAGGTATTATAGCTGAACATCTACTAAAGGTCCAGAACTATGCTCGTTATTGGAGAAAAAATGTAACACAAGATTTCTGTCCCCGGGGGGGTATTTAACTGGGGAGGTAAACCATGAGCACAGAAAACATTTCCCATGATTTACTGCACAGGCACTGTCTTGAAAAAGCTGCTGCCTAGAGTCTTCATGGTGGGGGGAGGGGGGACAGCACAGGGAACTCTACCTCAAGGCTACTTCTTCATGTATATTCTTCAAAGCTTCCCGGATGTGCTTGGGGACCAGCCTGGCTGCAGTGACACAGGCTCTGGTCTGGAGATCTGCTGATTTCTTCAGCACCTGCCCATAGTAGGTCTGACCAGAGGCCAAGGGCAGGGTTGGGGTGGGGAGAGAGAAGAGCTGGAACTGGTATCCATAGGGTGAAGTCTCCCATGTCCACCACCACCCCCATCCCCACCCATCCAGGCCTGGCTAGGCTTTCCCCATGCAAAGCTCTAAGCCCAGACTTTGCCCTGCACCCCCCTCCCGTCCCCTCCTTGATCCTGGGGGGCGAGGGCACAGGCGGGCTGGGCTAACAACGGCCCTAGTGCTCCCACTCAGTCGAGGCTCCTCCTTGGCCATTCCAGGCCCTTCTGCTGGCACCTGCACGTCCTTCCGTATCTCAGCGTCTCGGGGGGCCGCCACTGCCAGGAGGAGAAAAAAGGAAGCTGAAAGGCAAAGGTGCTGAGCACCTGCAAGGGGAAAGGAGCGCGCTAAGGTAGAGGGGTGGTTAAAAGGCAGGCTGGGAGCGCATTTGGTGGTTGACTGGTAGGGGTGGTGATTGCAGGGCCTGCCTCGAGGGTCCACACTGGGGGCGGGGCGGGGAGGCGAGGGGCGGCGCACTCACTGTCTCCTGGGCCTCTGGATTCCAGGACTTGGGCACTCCCGCAACCAGCTCCCCAGGCCGAGCACTCCCAAGGCCCCGCCCCGGGGCAAGCAGGCCTGATTTCCGGAGGGGCGGGCTTCCCGAGCCTGCACCAGGTGGTGCCAGCCGACTCCACCCGCTGGGGGATGCAGGAACCCGCCACCGCTTCCGGGAGCTTCCAACGCAGTCTGATCAGGCCTCACATGGCGCTCTGGCCCTCCTGGGCCGTGTCATCTCGGTTGTCTTTAGTCTCTCCAACCAGGAAGAGGCTATTACTATTCACTAGTATCTTCCTTTATTGCTCCACTGTGGTTTTCATTTTATAAACCTCGTACTGGGACTTAAATGAACACCCATATGATTTTTGCCCCTTTGGGGAATGAAATTATCTTTTCTCATCTTTTTTTTTTATTGAAGTCTAGTTGACATACAATGTTACCTAAGTCACAGGTGTACAAAATAGTGATTCCACAATTCCATACATTCCACAATGCTCACCACAAGCATAGTTGCCATCTGCCACCTTATTACATTACTGACTACATTCCCTATACTGTACTTTTCATCCCCATGACTTATTCATTTTACAACTGTAAGTTTGTACCTCTTAATCCCCTTCACCAATTTTGCCCATCCCTGCCCCTGCAACCACCAATTTGTATTTATTAGTCTGTTTTTATAGATCCCACACATAAGTGAATTATGTGATATTTGTCTTTCTCTGCCTGGCTTATTTCACTTGGCATAATACCCCCTGGGTCCATCATGTTGTCCCAAATAGCAAGATCTCATTTTTTTCTATGGCTGTGTAATATTCTATTATATAAATATGAAATTGTATATTATTCTGTGTGTGTATACACATACATATACACCACCTCTTCTTTATCCATCATCTATTGATGGACACTTAGGTTGCTTCCATATCTTTGCTACTGTAAATAATGCTGCAATAAACATAGGGGTACATGTACCTTTTCAAATTAGTTTTCATTTTTGGGGGGTAAATAACCAGCAATGGAATTACTAGATCACATGGTAGTTCTATTTTTAATTTTCTGAGGAACCCCCATACTGTTTCCACAGTGACTGTACCAGTTTGTATTCTCACCAACAGGGTGAGGGTTTCCTTTTCTCCACATCCTTACCAACACTTGTTATTTCTTGTCCTTTTGATTTTATTTTAGTCATTCTGACTGGTGTGAGGTGGTATCTCACTGTGGTTTTGATTTGCATTTCCCCGATGATGAGTGATCATGAGCATCTTTTCATGTGTCTGTTGGCCACCTGTACATCTTCTTTGGAGAAATGTCTGTTCAGGTCCTCTGCCCATTTTTTACACAAATTAGTTATTCTCAATCTATTTTTAAAGTCAGGTTTAGGGCGCCTGGGTGGCTCAGATGGTTAAGCGTCTGCCTTCAGCTCAGGTCATGATCCCAGCTTTCTGGGATCAAGGCCCACATCGGGCTCCTGGCTGGGCAAGGAGCCTGCTTCTCCCTCTCCCTCTGCCTCTCTGCTCATGCTCTCTCTCTCTGTATCTCTGTGTCTCAAATGAATAAATAAAATCTTTAAAAAAAAAGTTAGGTTTATTGAGATATAATTTACATTCAGGAAAATTCAACTTTCTCTAGTGTACAGTACATGAATTCTGACAAATGAATATATGACAATCGAGACTCTCTCATGCTGAAGTTTCTTTGTGCCCCTTTGTAGTAAATCCCCATCCCCTCCCCCACCAGCTCCTAAACAACCACAGATCTATTCTCCCTCCTTACCCAGAATGCCATGGAATCATATGGTATGCATGTAGCAGTTCTCAGTCTGTTTTGAATTATATTTAGAAAAGCAACTCTGCTAAATTCATTTTTAACCTCTAGTAATTTCTAGTCAATTCACTTGTGTTTCCTAAGTATTGTCATTTCATCCCACAGAAAATTTTTTCTTCCACCCCTATATTGAAAAACATGGGTTTGAACTGCATGGTCCACTTCTATGTAGATTTTTTTCAGTAAGTACAGTGCTATAAATATATTTTCTTTCCCTTGCAATCTTCTTAATAACATTTTGTTTTTTCTCCAGCTTGCTTTACTGTAAATACAGCATATAATACATATAACATATAAAATATGTATTGACTGACTGCTTATGTTATTGATAAAGCTTCCAGTCAATAAGAGGCTATTAGCAGTTAAGTTTTTGGGGAGTCAAAAGTTATACACAGATTTTCAACTGTGCAGGTGTCAGTACCTCAACCCCCGTGTTGTATAAGGGTTCACTGTATTTGTCTATCTTATTTCCTTCTGTGGTTGTAACAAGCATTTCTATTCATTAGGATAGCAAGGAGATATGGATATCTAAATGGGACATTTACTACATTACACTCATTTTTCAATCTCATCTGCTAATAACAATCTTCTCTGATGTCAATTAATTGTTAAATATTAATAGAAGGTGTTATATTTTAATATTTTTAACAAGTTAAACCCATGAAAACAATCCTTGTTGGAATATTTTTATAGCTTAGAATATTTCCAACTATTAAGTATGTAAAAATGTGTGTTTCTATAGCTATCAGTTTCTTGGCAATTGTATAACGGCAAAAACACTCTTAAATATTAGTTTTCAAAATACAGTCTCCATAAATTAGTTCCTTTAGGAAAGCAGTCACTTTCTCACTCATTGGTAAAATGCTATCTTTATCTGGAAGGCATAGATTAATGGGAGTTAAGGAAAGGGCTTTAATGTTTTCCACTTGTTCAGTATACTTGCTTTAATATATTATCTTCAATTTATGGGTATTCACAAGAATCATTTGATAAACCTAAAATCCACATAACCACACATGGATAAACCACAATAAAGCAAACCACTATCAACTTTAATTGAGTGATTCCCAGTTTTCCATCAGGTATCTAGTGTACAGAGCTGATTCTGGACCAGATTGCTTGTAGCAATCATTCATTCCGATTGGTCAGTGCACAGCCACAGGGGTTTTTGTGCTTTTAAGATCACCCATTCTAAATGACAGGCATGCTGTATAGAACAGTATGCTATGTAGACCAAACTAGAGCTCTCATATCAAGTCGTATTTTAAATATTAGCAAAAGCTAAGCAAACATATACAGAAATTTTCATTATTTTCTTCCCTTACCTCCAAGGATGGCCTTGTGCATACCTCCACATATCCCACCTTGGAAGCTACAATTACAGAATGGTCCAGAAAGGCAGATTGTGGTTCAGTACACAGACAATCTTTAAAGAAGTAGAGCTTTCCAAAATGGCCAGCATCTCTAAGTAAAGGATTCCCCAAACTGGAAGCATTCAAGCAGAAGCCAGATGACCAGCTAGATGTTTACTTGCTAGAGATGCAGTGGCAGGGGTAAATACATTGGATTCAGTTACTTCCAAGATCCTTTTTTTTGTATTGCATTAAATACTAGAAATGACAAGTAGCACCCATGTTTCTATTTATAAGGAAAGTAACAGATAATAGAGAGCTAGACTAGTATTCAAAAGACCTATCACCAAACTCAGTAACTTTGGGTAAGTTATGTGATGTCCCTCACTATGTTTTCTCATCTGTAAAACATGGGGCGAGAATTCAGTCACTTTTGAGGCCCGATACAGAGCTAAGATTCTGGGATTCTATGATTCTTTCTTCTTCATCAAATATTCTATGTTGGTTCTTTAGAAAGAACTCTTCAGAAAGAAAATTTTTTTTTCTTTTTTTTTTTTTTAGTTTTAATTAGAAATTGAAGTTAATTTTTTCAAATGTCTTTTTGGTGTATGTTACAGTGATATATGATTTAATGTTTCTTATTAATGTAAGATAATGTGTTTTGCAGCTGTTACATCAACTTTGCAATTCTGGAATTATTTTAGCAATTCTTCAAAAATATTTCTCTATTCAATTTTTCTGAGATTTTATTAGGATTTTTCATTCATGTTATGAATAAGAATATCCTAAATTTTCTTATGTTATTTTGCTTTTAATTTTTAAAAATGATAAATAAAATCTTTAAAAGATTTTAAAAATGGGGCACCTGGGTGGCTCAGTCGGCTAAGCATCTACCTCTGGCTAAGGTCATGATCTCAGGATCCTGGGATTGAGTGTGCTCCCTGCTCAGCAAGGAGTCTGCTTCTCCCTCTGTCCCTACCCCCAACTCACTCGCATGCATGTGCTATCATGCTCTCTTGCTCTCAAATGAATAAATAAATATTAAAAAAAAAAAAAATGAAAGTCATGGGTGCACCTGGCTGGCCCAGTCAATAGAGCATGTAATTCTTAACCTCGGGGTTGTAAGTTTAAGCCCCATGTTGGGTGTAGTGATTACTTAAAAATAAAATCTTTAAATAAATAAAAATAAAAATGAAAGTCATATTTACTTCAGCAAATGAACTGGGTATCTTACCACTGTTTTCTATACTTTGGGAGTATATGGAAGTTCTTTGACAGTTTGGAAAATTCTCAGGAAAGCTATCACAAGCAAATGACTTTTTTTTTTTAATTTTTAAGTAAGCTCTAGGCCCAACATGGGGCTCAAACTCACAACCCCAAGATCAAGAGTCGCATGCTCTTCCGACTGAGCCAGCCAGGTCCCCCTGGACATATTCTCTTTTAAATATCAGTTTTGTGATATTATATCTTCAAAGGAGGCGGACATTTTGATACTAGTAATTAAATTTTTAGAATCAAGCTGACAGATCATGCTTTTAAAATCTAAGTGATTTATTATCTCCATTTCAATTATAAATTTACTAATTTGTACTTTTAGACTGAGCTGACACTTTACCAATTTAATTTCTTTTTTAAGATTTTATTTTTAAGTAATCTCCACACCCAACGTGGGGCTTGAACTTACAACCCCAAGATCAAGAGTCACATGCTTCACCAACTGAGCCAGCCAAGTGACCCAATACTTTACCAATTTAATCTGTAAGAACCAATTAATGATATCACATATTTTTTCAAATTTTTATCATTCATGCTTGGCTTTCTTATTCTATTTTGATTTCTTCCCTAAGTTCTAACCAC